TCGTCGGACCGCTCCGTCCACATCTACACCCTGAAGAACAAGGACGGCCACTTCTCGCTGGCCCAGCACAGCAAGGTCACCAAGATGGACCTGCCCGCCCGCCGCGTCTCTTCCAACAGCCCGGCGCCCCCAGACTTCGGCAGCCGCGCCTTTGCCGCTGATGCTGCCATGGCAATCGGCTCGCCCGTGCCGTCGATGCCCGGCACGCCCCAGTCGCTGGCCCTGCCCACGATGCATCCGCCGCCGACCTCGCACAGCCGTCGTTCGTCCTTCGGCTCCTCTCCATCCATGCGCCGCTCCGCCTCGCCCGCTCCGTCCATGCCCCTGCCCGCCGTCATGCCAAACTCCCCCAGCATTGGCACCATGGGCACCATGGGCCTCCGCAACGCGCCCCTCTACTTCAACGAGACCCTGACCTCCTTCTTCCGACGTCTTACATTTGCCCCGGACGGCAGCTTGTTGTTCACGCCGGCAGGCCAATACAAGGCCGTGCATGCGTCCGTTGCTGAAGCCAAGCAGACCGACGACATCACGAATACAGTCTACATATATACCCGGGCCGGCCTTAACAAGCCACCCGTCGCCTATCTGCCCGGCCACAAGAAGCCCTCGGTCGCCGTCCGTTGCTCGCCCGTCTACTATACCCTGCGCCAGTCTGCCCCACCCACCAGGCACATCACCATCGATACTTCAAATATGGACGATGAGATTCCTTCTCTGCCTGATCCAGTCATGCCCTCCAAGCCCCCTACCTCGCATTCATCCATGGACCCCCCGCCCATCACGAGTGCGCCTTCTCCCTCGCCTAGCCTATCAGCGCCGTCGCCCAAGCCCGCCGATGGCGAAGCATCCGCTCAATCCGGCCTGCCCCCCGGGCCTCCGTCTGCCTTTACACTGCCTTATCGCATGATGTATGCTGTCGCAACACAAGACGCTATCCACATCTACGATACGCAGCAACAGAAGCCCCTATGCATCGTCAGCAACTTGCACTTTGCTACCTTTACAGACATCACCTGGTACGTGCCGAGGCCCGCTTTGACTCCCAGTTCACTTACCATTCAATAGGTCAAATGACGGCTCCATGCTGCTGATGACCTCGTCGGATGGCTTTTGCTCATCCATCACATTTGCTCCTGGCGAACTCGGCGACAAGTACACGGGTCCTTTAGCTGTTCATAGCCGACCACAGCAGACACCTGCTGCCATCAACACCACGGGGGGGCACACATCAAACAACTCTACCCCGACTCCTACACCAACAAACGGAACCATGCCAGGCACCACAACGGCTACTGCACCACCAATGCAGAGGCAACCCTCTGCAGGCTTCCCGGCCTCTCCGAGCTCTTTTGTTCCCGCAAGGCCTGGAAGTCCCACAAGAAGCAATTCAGTATCCAGTATTGCTACTGCTTCATCCTTTGCGCCCGGTGCAGGTGACCAAAGCAACATGAACGCCCCAACGCCGGCTATGTCATCAGTGCCTAGTATTGCTGCTGCCAATTCTGGACCTGTACCGATGTGGACACCGCCTCTGACCCCAGCTCACGGCCAGGGCACGACGCACAGTGCAAGTAGCTCGGTCAGCGGGGTACCAAGCACTGCCCATGTTGGGCGAAGAGAAAGCGAAATGAGCGAGTCAGACCGCGACGATGCATCTTCGACTTCCAAGAAACGAGATTTGTATGCTATGCCGGAAGTTGATGCAGATGCGCGAGAGAGTAAGCGACGAAGGATTACACCAACACCGGTCACGATGGTCGCGGAAGGCGACAGTGCTATTGCCAGCACCGAAGAGAGTACTCCGACACAAACACCCGGGCAGTAGGAACTATTACATGGGATCCTCTTGTTTCCGATGCATTTCATCATTGTGTACATCTTGTCTTCAGCAAGGCGTTTAGGATACCAGGGCTATATTTACGGCGATATCATGTACAGATTCCTTTCTTTCCTTGCTAATGCTGTAATAGTGGGGCGCCATCACGATTATACCAAAATTCCCACTGCGCGAAGGCGCATGTAGTCGTACTCCACAATACAGATTATAGTCAAGTCAAATACATATACATTGCAGATGGAAAGACCTGAACTCATCTCCCTAGGTGGCCCAGTTGGTATTGCAGATTTCACGCCACTGAGGCCATCTCCGTGCTCAGAGACGTTGCGCGCAACTCGAGAATGGTCGACTGCCGATTCGACGGAACGTTCTTGTGCTCGTTCGCACCTTCCCACGTTGCTATCGCCCGTATCACAACCCAAGGATTTCCAAGAGCGATCGCCTTAGCTTATACCCCTGTCACGAACAGCCGATTATGATGCCGACCAATCAAAGCGTAGCTACGAGCTGACAAGCGCATTCCTTGGGTTGTTGCCATTGGTGCAGCCGTTCGGACCAGGCGAACAACGTGGTGAGTTCGGACGTTGCATTGGGCACAGCATCGGAATAGTCTTGTCCTTCGCTGCAAGTGCCAGCAAGATACATGGATCTACCTTACACTCGGTGCCCCTCTATTTGGCCTTTCTCTTTCTTCCCAGTCGTCGCGTGCACCTCTCACATTTGCAAAGAGTTGGAAACTTTGTACAGTGCATTCGGAGATTGAGGTGTGGTATAGTAAGATGGACGATCAGAGCAAAGTTCACGACGGGAAAGTCCAAGAGCACGAGCACGATGTTGAACACCAGCACGCCTGCGGTGAAACGAGTAGCTTGGGTAAAGACGACATCTTACAACTCCTAAGGTATAGTCTCGAATAGTGAATAACTAGAATTTTAGACTAATAGCGACAAGCGGACCTGATTGCATCGGCGTTTGACTTAACACGCAAACTGCCTTCTGACAAAGAGGCCTATAAATACTGATGTATCGAACTTTTACACTTGTAATTCTTCCAACTCCTACGTCTAGAATGTTTCCAGACCTTCCTGCTATTGTTGTGGCAGATGTTTCTGATCACGATCGCGTTCTAGTTGTCGCTAACACTATACCCTATTTGTATGAACTTCTCTCCCTCATTCAAGACGTCACCAACGTGTCCTACTTCCTGCCTCTAGCCCTTGGTAGCATTTGGGTCGGACATGTATCAAACGTCGAGAGCATTACACACTATTACCTTGATCACATTATTCTTACAGACATGCCAGAGTCCCTCGCGGCTGACAGACTGCACGAATCCCTCCCCGCATGGATGCAATCGCCGCGCCTGGGCACCCATGGACATGTAACTATTGAACTGCATCGAGAGCATGCGGACGAACACTGGCGAGATGTTACCGTCCGCTATGAAGCAGCGCTGAATGCGCTGGGGCTGACCCTAAAGTCCGTGAATGGTGTCGATCCTAAGAAGACAGACTACAACCGAGCAGATGCTATAAGTCTTTGCGATCGCCTAAAGCAAGTTCGCAACCAGTTGCAAGGGCTGCCAGATCGAGAGTCGCGTTTTCTGCACCAGGAGATTCAGTACGTTGAGTTTCATACTAAAGAGAGTAGTGTAAAGAACGGTGTGTCACTAAGCGATGTTCTCATCCGACCAGAAAGTGCGATCAGGCTCTTCGGAAAAGTGGAAGTGAAATCAGTACGTGATGAAGCTGGGGGACAAGACGGATGTTGATAGAGCGGCGATGTCTTGAGTAGGCCTTTGCTTGTAGACATGTCTGAGACTATGCAGATATCCAGAAGAAATAACTGTGTCTTAGACACTGACTGAACTGTCTGTCCAAATCAGTTTAAAGAGTGCCTTGCCCTCTTCTCTAGGCGCTCTTATTAGTTGTTAACAATGGATCTATTTCGCGGCAAGGTTCTCGCTATGCTTATACCTACCTCGTCTACTGCCAAAGAAATAGTCCACTATCACCGGAACAAATCTAACGTGGTACAAGAAAGTGATTTCCTACATCTTACGCAGAGGTCTCGTCACGACCGCGTTGGCATAAAAATTACCTTGGCATCTATCATGAGCAGACAGTGCTTACCGTTAGGCTCCTTTCGAGGTTGCTCAGTGCAACTTCCCGAGAAAGATTGGATAGAGGATCAGCATTTTATTCTGTACCTGGATCCTGTCACTGCAGCTCTTCACCTTAGAGATACATCTAGCACTGGTACCTGGGTGTGCCCGTTGAGTGGGAAGCGACCAATACACCTGCACTGCAAAGCGATGCAAATTACGTCTGCCATGCTCATTAAGCTTGGAAGCGACTGTCATGTGCAGTTCGAACTCCATGTAGATCAAGAAGCTGTACGATCTGCAATGCCGGCTTGGATTCGATCTGCACAAATCTTCCGAACAGAAGTTCCCAGGGCCGTTACTGATATAGACGTCTACACTGGTGCTGGAAGACCGCAGGTACATCACCGGGTCACTTTGGAAATGGAGCATGTCCAAGAGTACCTGCGTGAACGACCACAGGAAAGGGCTCAGTACGTTAAGAGACGGCGAGAATCCGTAGACAGCCCACTATACGACATACCCATTCGCGAAGCCAAACAAATACGAATCAATAATCAGGACTCAGGTCAGCTCTGGCGAGTGTGGGCGGGGCTTCGACAGACTTGCCAGGGCTTGGTGAATCGGGAGTGAATTCGAGACAAGTCCTTTAGTCTTTTAGATTGGTTCGCTGCTATTGAGAGTTGAAGAAGGGAAGAATTCGTGCTTGCAAGACTGTAGCGTTTCCAGTTGAAGGGTTACTTTTGGTGGCGAGGCGGGAGACTGTCCGTGGGAATGCCTCGCATTGGTCGCTAAAGAATGGCATTACGCAAAGAGCGGCATCGAACAAGTGCCATGGATGTCTGAGAATAATGAAAAACACACGGCGAGCAAGGCTGATAGTTAATTATTGTGGAACTACTAGTACATACATGTGGAGCCATGTGATTAAGTGAATCGTGCCAGTCAAACACTCTTCCTGACCTTGACCATCCGTAGAGCACCTGGACAACTTCGACAGCAACCTCACCCCATGATCGAGACCAACGGTCAGTCACTAGCGCCTTCTTACTGCCTCTAAGCCGCATCGCTGGACGAGAAAGCATCCGCAATAATGCGTAGCTCACTGTTGCCGTTGCTGCTTGCCACGTTGTGGAGGTGAGCAACGAGACGCTCGACCCATGCATCTGTTTCTGGGCCATCTGCGGGCTTCGCTTTTCTTGCAACCTTTGCCTTTGGGGTTTTCGCAGTTGATCTATTCCGAGGCATACTGTCTATGTTGGCATCTGGTGCTTTGAAGATGGTTAGTTTCTGTAAGGCGGTTTGACACAAAGACTCTAGACCGGACCCGGACGCAAAGTCGCTGGGACTTTCTCGGGCTATGAAATCCTGCATCTCTTCCTCGCAAAAGCCAACGGTTAGATCTTGAAGGAACCTGCAGCCTCCTAACAGCATTCGGTACTGGTAAAGAGGTTCCTGAGAAAAGCTCAGGATGGTGAGACGGCGCACATGATCCGAACCGAGATCATTGCCACTTCTAAGATCTACTAGCATCTCCTGAAATGCAATTCTCTCAACGTCTCCAAGTTCAGAAGTTTTACTAGTGAATACTAGATTTACCTGGTGCAACCACTCGATGGCTATCACACGTCGCCATTCTGAAGACGTTCGACATTGGCTGGGCCAGACTGAAGGACATGTTGTAGGGGTTTCTGAGGCGATAACCGACATGTTAATGTCCTTGACGTCATCGTACAGCGATTGCGGACGGCTTGACTTTCGTGTCATACTCGTCACCCAAGACCAGTGGTCACTCAAGACATCCTCAGGCGTGGACAGGTGTTGTGTAGATGTGGCATAGGGGATAGTCCCGGATCCCTTTGGCGTGCTCTCAGAGGTGGGCTCGGTAGTAGCTGCAGTGAAAGACTTATCTCCCGATGCGGCTTTGCAGTCCTCAGAGGCTGGTCTAGTCGCAAGCGCAGCTATTGATCCGTCTTCAGATGCGGCTTTGAGGTTCTCAGAAAATGACTCAATGCGAAGCGTGGCTTCGGACTTGCTATCAGATGCGTCCTTTTTACCGTGGTCAGAGGTTGACTTGCTTATAGGCGCAGAACTAGACTTGTCGTTAGGTGCGTTGGCGCTGCTGGTAGAAATTACTGGGGAAGCCTCCTGTAATCTCTTCATGGGCGGACGATTTGAGGCTTGTCGCGCCTCTGGTGGTGTGTTTGAGCGGCTCCTCTTGGACATGCTGGTGTAGACTAGGTAAGAGCAGTTGGTAGTTGAGAGAAGAGAGGGAAGGGCGGGGTGCTGCTTATAACCAGAAAGGTACTAGTTTGCTAACTAATGTTTGCGTATCGTGTGCCCAGCAATCAAGTTGTGAAAGAGTAATGGTTGCAGCTAGCAGTATCTATTTGGCATACTCTCTAGCAGATTCTATCTTGCTAGCCTTTCGTCTGTGTGTGTTTAGCAGCTGCCGCTGTGGTAGATACGATATTATGCAAAACGTACGAGATACACGTTGGTGAACTACTGTCTTGTAGGTGACATTGAAAGCTGCTATGGGTATGTTTAGCCCTGAGTGGACTGGTGATAGGTGGGGAGCGCGCACTTGCAGGATCAGGAAGCTTCCAAGATTATTTATGTGTCTCGAGAAAACAACAGGAAACTACATGCGTCTTTGACTTAAACTGCGGCCTCGTCCTGGATTACGACTTGCAATAGGAAGTAGAAGCTTTGAAGATTTTCATGGAGAGAAGTTTTATTTTCTGCGCCACATGTCTCCTGAGCTTGTGCGAAGAGTGAAAGACCCTCCTCAAGGTGCAGCATATAGCTTCACGCTCAATGAGGGCCCACACCCTACCCTTGCGGGATTTCTTCACCAGACGTGTAACGTCTGGGGCGAGAAGGCCTGCTTACGGGCTGCTAGGACTTTTGCAGCTTCGGGGTATAACGGGATGATAAAGCGAAGTGAGGAGACGAAGAGGAAGCAAAAGGCTCGTGGCGAGTGATTGTGATTGTGGTTGTGAGGTTTTTGCGCCTTCGTTCGATTTTGACGTCAAGCGCTTCACCCTCGACCCAGGTGTCTTGTATATCGGTACCGGCAAGATCCAGGAGCAAGGTTGACAGATTTTTCCATTGTATCACGTCCTCCAGGCTCGCTGCGCAATCGTCCCGGTTGGTGATGGAGACACGAATTGTGCGTGCCCACTCGAAGTTGAGCATCGCCCGCAGACCGCAAACGGCCCACGCATAGCGATCCCGTCTCCCCCTTGTCGTTCTCCATGCCACCAAATCGTTCTTCATCTGCTTGGACACGAGTGCGAGTGTTTGCGTACCAATATCTGTTATAGCGCCATCTCGCTCGCAGATAACTTCCCAGTCTCCCAAGGCGGATTGCAGTATTAGGAGGCGTATCTCGGTAGGTAAATCAAAGTATTCCGGCATTGTAAAAAAAGAAGGATTAATTAGAGAAGGTAGATAGGTAGGCTGTTGTTGAAAAGATGTGGAGGGCTACAGCTTAAGATGAGAGCTTATGATCACTGCTGCATGAACGGTGAACGGTGAACAGTGAAGATGAAAGTGAACACAGCGCTAAGATAACCTTTGCTAGTACTTCGCGCAAAAGCTTCGCACCTAACAGCATTACATTGAGAACGTTTCTATTTATTATCTTAACCTTAGGACGTGTGCTGAGGCTGTGATGATAGTAAATTCTAACCACTTATCCGTCTTTCTAAGCAAGACGATCTTAGAAGGCCTTTTGCAACTTAGCGATCACCTTTATCGCCGCTAAAACAACAGCCTGTAGCGAGGAAATGTAGCTCGTGTTGGTACAACTCTTTATACCGCTTATGCCTTCATCTCTAGGTGATCCAACGCTACCTAAGTACCCACGACAACCACGACAAACATGAGGACGACTGCTAGAAAGGCAAAAGATCGCCTGTGTGGAGTTCTTGTAGCCTCGCGCGCAATACCTAGCTTACCCGGCCGAACTCTTGCAACTCCGGGCCGCATGCCGTACCACGACTCCTTTATCTTTGCTAGTACGTGGAATGGTACATACGCCTTCCCTATTTCGTAAAATCGTACTGTACCCCGCCGTAATTTAGGACAAAGGACACGCTGGCGGGCTGCGAGATGTTCTAGTTTGCATGTCAAAGTCTCAATAATGTCTAAGACATCCAAGTGTAACTTGTAGCAGTTACGCCTACCTCGATTGTTTAAGACAGTTCTCCTGCCTTTTCCCTTACTACTTATAAACTAAAGTCTTTTCAGCTTCCCACATTCTATCTTACTCTTAACAGAAACCTTGAACACTGCTACAACTTACAAGTTATCTTTGTTCAAACCCTCTATATCCCGACCAAGGTCATGACGTACCAATCTGAAGATGGGAAGTTGCTCGCATTATTGTCAGATGATACAACCATTAGAGCCCTACTTGCTCGTTCAGACCTTACGCAAAAGCATTTCGAAGCTATCAAAACTATCTATAGCCATTTCGCCAAGACTACAGAACGCTACCGTACGAATCCTAACAGTCCCATCCCAGTCAAAGAGTTTAGCACCGATGAGCTCGCTAATGACAACGTTCCACGACAAATGGTATGTTCATGTGGGAGGGTACTGTCGGAGCCTGAGACTGTGCCGCCGAAGGTTCGAAAGCCGGCAACACCAAAAAACCAATTCAGCCGATTTCTGAAGCTAAAGGAGATGACCATCCCAAGCCACATCTCTCGTCACATTGCAGACCATGGAAGCGACCCCCAAGCGTTCTTCTCTCGCTCTGAACTCCAACACCCTATCCACAAATACGACGCTCAGCAGGCTGGGGATGCATTTCTCGCATCTTACTACCACACCATCCAGTTGCATGAAAACATGGCAGCTGATGCAGCCATCTGGGGTTTTCTCATGCTTCAATATTTTGACATCTGCCAGCTCCTTCGCCCTGGCGCTACAGGTAGTCGCATGGGAGTGACCCAGCTAGGAGATATCCAGTTGTTCTTAGCACCTCTCGCTGCTGCAGATATCGCAGGGGGCACAAAGCACCCGAAATTCAACCTCAGCGTTGCGGCGGATGACATTTATGAATGGTGTACGTACGGCGCGAAGATTAACATCTTTGTGTCAGAGTTTGGGCCTGGTTGCATCTTCCCGCTGGCCAAACATCTCTCCCAGGACTTTCTTAAAAACAAGGTCACAAAGTCTGGATCTCGCCACGATGAAGCGATTAATCACCTACGGAACAAATTAGGCCTAGCTACTCTGCTACGCGATTCTGGTACTGGTGAGCTAGGAGAGCATATTAGAGCATTCTTGATTCGGCCATTCAAGCTTTTGCATGAGCTTCAGAAGGAAGATAGTTATGCCGAGACGGAAATACTGGACAAGGAAGAGTCTTAGATTGTAGAGCTTATGAGGAATAGTCAGACTGGGTAGTGAATTTGACGAGAGCCTTTGGTTTGTGTTCTATCTTCGTCCATGCCTCGACATTCTTCACGTGTACGTTCTCTTTTCACAACGAGGAAGTGTCTTACGTTATATCATACTTGCGACTTCTTTCATTTGCGAATATCCTTTTGTCTGAGTTGTCGCTATTTCTGAAATTGTGAGCAGCTTGTTTCGCTTTGCGTTATCGCAGTACTATAGGGATGTGTCTTATACACTTATGTAACAATTCTAAGAGGAAATAAAGGTAGTATTATTAGCATAAGAAGGTTATACAAAAGTGTACAATCTAAGACTAGACAAAAGAGCATAAAGCTTAGAGAATGTGCTGCAGCCTGCAATAGAAACGCTTGTTATACGCAAAGATACTCCTCAAATAAGAGAGATGGCAATTATTAGGGTCACTAGTAGAGCTACTGAACACTCCTCAAAGCAGGCTCCCACTATGTTTCTGTACGTTCATTTTGGCCCGGTACAGCAGTCCTTTTACTAACAAGAATCTATTTGCATGACACCATGTCTACCTTTCCGATAACTACTTCTGTCGCCGTGACTATAGTTCCAGCACGCTCTTTGATCTGCGCGACCCACAGTTCTCCTTCCCCAGGACCCCGCATACCCCTCTCATTGCCTGACAGCGTTTGACAGTAAGCATACCACAGATTTCGTTCTGACAAAACAGCGTCGCGCGTATACTGGAGTGCTCTGGTGTCGGAGTCGAGCTGCGCAAGCTGAGTGCTTGTGTCTTCCGATCGTCTAGGCTCCGGATGATACTGTTTGCGGGTCAAGGTACTTTCGTACTTGACATGGGCTTCGTGCTGCTTTGCAATACTACTGTAGTCGAGCGCCAAAGCTTCGAGGAGCTTGCTCACAGGTTCGAGGGTCTCCTCAAAGTAAGAGAGGAGATTGTGAGCGTAGGATAGCGTTGAGTTGATAGAGAAGCCGGTGTGGTTGACTGGCGCTCCGTCCGGCAGTAGGCAGCTTAGCTGCTGGATACTTGGTATCATTCGCTGTCGAATGACCAAGGCAACTGCCTTCTCCCGGCTAGGAATCCCCTGAACGAGCATATGTGCGTGCTTGATCTCTGCGTGATAAGATGTTATCGCTTCGTTTTTGAAGCCTGTCGTGTTGGCCAGCGCATCCGTCGCGTTGGCAAATACTGTGAACACGTACGGACGTTCGAGCAAAGGTGCTACATTGCTTTGCTTCGAATGCAGCACTATGCCGAGAAGTGTTACAGATACTAATAGCACCCAGAAAAGGGACCTGCTAATGTGCGATCGAACGTCGTTTGTCCAACAGCGCAGCAGACTTGCACAACTTTTCTCGCAAGTTTCCGCAGATAGGTCGGCCGGTTGGTAGAGTTGGGGGGCCGAGGTAAGGCTACCTGTGCCGATATAGGTGTGGTTGTAGCGGCGTCGGATCGCATCTTGGACGGCACCAGATCGTACGAGCTGCATGATATCTGTCTTAGGATTTGTCCAATCCTCATCGTCATCGTTGATAGCTCGGTTCATTGCAGATGGAAATCGACATGTAGACCTGGAAAAGCCATACAACGAGGAACTTTATAGGTTACAACCGTTTGAACACGGACGCGGGTGCGATTCGCAAGTCTTATTCGCGAGCCTCACTGAAAAAGACACAACGTCTAAGACATGTATTGTCTCAGACAAGTAGAAGCTACTGCGTTTGTCTCAAGCAATAGCGGGGGTTCTTGGCTGCCCGAATGTGGTTATAAAAGGTTTTACGTTCTCCGTCCAATGCGGTTCATCCTCATCCAAAACCATGGCGGAAAAAATCTTGTCCCTTCGACTTAGCCCCCCTATCCAGCAATGGCCGCAAACTGAGGCTGAAACCAAATTATCTCTGAGGCAGACGATCAAGCGTCTCGAGGAATCTAATCGCACTGTCATTCGAAAAGCGAAGGCGTTGAAAACTTTGGCCCAAGGCTTGCAGACTCAAATCATATGCTTTACTGCTGCCGCAGATGAGCTTCTTACTGAAGTCACTAGTGCAGAGCGGAATACCAAGCTTGGAAGGTTCGTCGAACAGTGGGCGCACCTTTTCGCTGAGGCAACTCAGCAGCATGCGCAAAAGGCTACCGATCATTCCGCACCCGGGCAGGCAGAGTAGGCGACGTGCATCATAGTGCGTCGCGAAAATCAAAGACAAATCTTAATCTTCATCATGCTAATGTGTTCGTTGCTGTGAATCTGTTGCTGTAGTTGTGGTACATGTTCAGCTATGAAAAACTTTGAGCGCGGTCGGGCGATTGCCGTATTAAATATGACAGTAGTTGCAAGTGACATTTGCGACAAACTATCCATCGCATCCCTTATACATATAAAGATGTGAACATCCACTCGTATCCTACTGAGTCGTACACGCACATGGCATGGATGCGAGAGGGTCGAGTCCGCCGATCGCGAACGACAATCGTTCAACGCAAGCTACATTCACTCGATAGTACACAGAACTCTTACTAGGCATTCAACAATGCAAACAGTACGAAACTTGTATTCCTCTGCGTCCGATAAGCTAAAGAGAGCGCAAAATCGCGAAATCTATTGAGTCGGACAGGCTGGAATACTAGCGGAAAAGAGCGTTCGGATTTAGTCACGATGCCATCATGTATAATAGAGAGACAGGATGAGACCACCACCGCCAAAGTCAGTGAAACCAGGATGTTGTGGCTTCCCAGCTACTTCACCACCTCAGCAGGAGCCTGCCTGCATAATACCCTAAACCCTTCTCTTAGCACCCTAGGAACATCCTCCAACATCCATGGCCTCTGTAGATATACAGACCCTCATATGTGTCGCCGCTATGGCTACATGTATCTCTACCATGTACCCATACCAGCATGACATGGTCAAGCCCGGAAGGTCGGGCGTGGGCGGACGTGAGCCCGCGAGGGTAGCTTGAGTTCACGTCTGTCAACACCCGGAACGGGATGTCTGCCAGACAGGTATGATGCTCGGTGACCCCAAGTCCTGCTAACATCCTCCCCATAGTACAAGGGGCGTTCGATGTTCGAAAAATGGTGTACGACGGTGAGATGTTGATGTGGTATTGGCGCCGGCGGCGAGGGAGGGGGATGGGGTCGAGGTCGAGCAATGAAGCAGAAACTTGAAAAGGTCAGTATGATTTGAAAGCGGTTCGCTGGTATTGATACGGCGCCAGCAAGAGGAATAAATCAGAGCTAAGGCCGTCGTCGAATTCGGAGTCGTCCTTTAGGCAGTCCTCGGATGTCGGAGCTGGCACTTGTGTCGAACACGAAGTCTGGTAAGCCCAGCCCAGTCATTAAGGTAACGTTAGCATGGTCTATCGTGGCAGAAACAGAACATCTACTAGCTCCCGATGGCTTGCCGGGAGTGAGCCCATCAGCGACCTCAGCTGTGACCCTTCTAGGCACATTATGGTCAAGCGCGCCGACGCTGTCGCCGATTGTGGTAGTGGAGAATAAAAGAGATGGAGCTGATGGCGACGAGGAGGTATCCACCGGCCTTTTGTAGTCCGAGGCCAAGCTCGCTGCTACCTGGAGCCTAGGGCAAAGCCTTTGTGATGGTGAGAGAAAGTCAATTGGGAGCGGGGTCGTTGCGAGTGGCTGGAATCGGCTTGTTGTCGGAGTGAAGACACCTGTATGTGGTGCAGGTGGTGAAACACTTTCAACCTACCTAGGTATGTCGGCGGCGAATCACCCGCAGTTATGCCGCCCACTATACCCCAAATCGTATAGCGTCAGGGGCTAGTGTCCCGCCAACCCGTGTACAGTTTGGTGGGGCTACCTGCTGCTATCCGAAACCGGTAGCTGCCCATGTGCGCTCTTTGCGGTCCGCTCTTCTTCTCTCTGCCCGTGTCCGCATCCACCGTGATACACGCCAGCTACTCATCTCGTGCTCTACAACCTGATTCACGATCTATACAGGCTAGAAAAGACAAAGTCAAGGTATTGCCTTGTTACCGGATCCCCTACAAGGGGCGTTTTATTCTCCATCACGATGAATAAGCTTGGTGGTCGTGAACATTCGAGGGTACAATGTATCTTTAGTAAGCAGTACTTTGATCGCACAATTTTAATGTAGTTTAGTCCTCCTTAAGATGCTTTAGAGGCAATTACACGCTCCTAATTATGCGCGTTTCGCTGACATGGTCATTGATCTCGCAATATTCAGCTATGACGAGCAGTGTTCTGAGATGGACTGAGGACTGCGCGGGGCGATCCTCGACGACGCATTAGACAACAAGAACGCGTGGAGGGCCTTTTACGGGCACCGCGCCGTCGCCCGCCCTAGCCGCTGCTCTGCCACAACATACTTCGCCCCTGTTTCCATAGTACATAAGCCATAAAGCGTACGTCAAAGGGGGGGGCGGAGAAGAGGGAAGACCGATCAATGCAAGTGGCCGAGCAGCTTGCCCGAAATGGTTCTGGGAATGGGCGACCACATCGTTACTATACAGGTGCTGACACAGTACCTGTATTACTCATGCGCGCTTCCTTACGAGGCTAGACCTCATCTCTCCCCCAAACGAGGGCGTTGCGCTGCTGTTGTTGCCAAGCAACACCAACGTGTGCCGGCGGCATCGAGGTTGTAGCGCGCGAAGCGTCGGAGGGGAGAAGGCCAGGGGCAGACATTCTGAGGTGGCTGTTGCTGTTGCTAGTATTGCTGATGCTGGAGTGGAGGCTGCAAGACTACCTAGGTGTTTAAGTACAGCGTGCCCACTGATAGCGATAACAAAAGACTACCCAGGCATCTATACAGCGGTGCGCTTCTCACTCCTCACCGTTTATCAATCACCTACACCTTCCATCCAACGCGCAGTTTATTGCCCTCAAGAACACCGGGAAAGACGATGTCACAAGAGGCCCAAGGACTGACAGCAACATTGCCCTTCTACTAACACTTGACACGCAGGTACTCTATAAAAAGCCAAAGCGCCCAAAAGGCCTACCAAAAGAGGGGACCCTTTTTGCCTGTCTCATTTCTTGGGAAAGCGTCTGTGCGAGAAGCGCGACCAAGAGCTGTGCTGGCACACTTGATCCCTGCAGCTTCTCCGACTGCGACATTGGGTAAGTGTCGCCCTCTCTCAGCCTGCGGCTGAGGACGACTAGACATCCAACAAAGCATCTTTTCACCCACGCTCGTGCAACACGGTCATACAACACGACCAGGAGAACAATTCGCTTTGGGCGGCTGTGTTTCTAGACTGAGACTAAACACAGCCTATCAATGCTGAGCTTGTGCCAGAGCCAACCGTGTCTTACCATGTGTCTGGTCTGTTAGACTGCCGCTTTGGCACCAGATGAACTATAAGAGCACCTTGTCCAAATGGTACGGAATCTCTCCTCCAGCACTTCGTTACCCTCGAGAGCTGCCAACGAATACCTACTCGCAAACATCTTATCTCTCACACAAGCCAACCAGAAGACCTTTCAACAAAAAGAAAACTCTGTGTTACCAAGGAGGTCGCCTATCTTCCATAATGGCGGACGTTTCGGAGAAAAGACGCGAGACGTTCACCGAAAAGTGCACAGTAGTATGTGAAGCATGGACTACCTGGCTCATCAGAGGCATACTTCAATTTTTGGACTGGTTTTGGAACGGCGAGCCAGCACAACATCGCTTTCGCATGGTTGACCCAGACGTCGAGCGGCGGGCGTGGTAGAGACGGGCCTTACTGGTTGTATCCGTGCCTATTGCCATTAGCATACTCTGGAGTCGTACCGGGAACCCAAATTCATCCAGTCTCACGGTGCACCCAGGAATACTCGCACGCAGCGACATGTACAGCAAAATGACCGCTGCATTGCGCTCGGCAACACACGACCCGAGTATTCAGCCCGGTGTGGACGACATCCATGAGAAAATCTATGCCATGTCGTCTGCGGAAACTCGATTGATTACCTTGCTACAAACCCGATTGGGAAACGAATCTCAATGGCAAATCGACCATGGGACGGAGACTTTAAGCGACAAAGGGCTGGCGGAAGCACGATGTCAGCTCTATAGGGACGTTGGAACAACCTTGAGCGAAGCAAGATCGCTTATACAAGAGCTCGAGAGCTTGGGAAAGCACCTGCATCGCCGCCTACGCGATACCCGCGGCGTCGTGGAGAAGGACTTGTTCGCCACGGAAAGAAGCATAGCCAAAGTTAAGGGCGATAGTTCCTGGGTCATTTGGACTGAAAGAGGATACAAGGCTCACAATTCACTTGAAGCTACACTCGCGAACGTTATTGACAGCTGTTCGTCATGGACTCTGGTATATGTCGTCTTTGCCGGTTACATACTTCCCGATGATCGTCGTTATCTGGACAGGAGTAGTTTCTCGGAAGCGCTCTTGCGATTGCGTACTTCCCGAGGCATTGACTGGGTAGGAAAGTGGTATCGGTGGGAGCGCTTGGGTAAGGGTTTTGACGAAGTTTTCCGAGACGGCAAATTTTGGCAAACAGGCCAAATGCGTGCCGCGCCTCTGACCCAGGCAAATTGGCAACCTCGTGTTCAACGTCTGGTAACCACTGTTGTTGAAGGCGAGATTGTACGGCAAAGCCGAAATACACTGTTGGGGTGGGGGAAGCGTAGCGGCCTGGGAATATAAGCTTGCCTGACTCACAAGACACGCTCGGACGCTGTCTCAACACAGCCCATTTGTTTGTGTGGCCTGCGCTCGTTCTCTCTCCTATAGCACTGTCTCTTCTATAAATACCAACGTTCTCATTACTACTTCCCCTCCATCCTCTCCAAATTGAGGCGGAAGCCCTCCATTGCACAGAGCAACCGTAAGCCATCTCGCACCAAGTGCTCATTACCCAAAATGTATTGGCTTCTTCGATTCACCGCGAGAAATACTTACCTTGGCAGGTTGCTCAACTTAATTGAGCTTCTTCTTGAGTGGGTGAGCTTGTATAGCGCGCTCAAGATATTAACCTATGCGTACGCGATGGTGATACCATGGGTTAAGACTATCACCTGGGAAGAAAGCGAGGCATACCGAATTGCCCTCACAGCCTTTCAGGATGCCTTGCTGCATCGTACTGCGTGGGCTACCCTTGCTACGGGTCTCTTCCGCATAACTCTCAAGTAGGTAAGGCGCAAGAAGACGTTCCTTGCCATCGCTCATGCTCACTAGGCTGGGAAACCCGATTCTATCTATTCTTCGCAGCCTGTGTCAATTCACGCGGCCAATCCATACGCTACACCCTGCTGAATCGCCAGCCGTATCGATCAAGCCCACGCAAAAGGACAGTGAAGTCCAGACACTGCCTATTATACTTGAGACATGTCAACGCTGCGTGGAGTCTTCGCAGCAAGTGAAGACCGCCAATGCGGATGCGCATAGGTCGGCAGGAGAAATACAGACTTGGGAACGGAAAGCGGCAGCACTCGAAGAAGAATTGAGGTCTCTTGTGGCGTTGAAGACAGCGAGACAAAAGCAGGAGCATAATGTGCACATAACACGCGCAGTAGTGCAATGTCCCGGCGACAAAGGCACATGCAGTTGCTGTTCGAAAGCGGCTGCGCGATCTGCTGAGATGTCAACAAACCTGGAGCGGGTCAAGGAGGATTTCGAGGCAGCTAAGCAGCAGCTGGCGAGTGTCCGAAAGGATAATGAGACCCTGCGGGAAGAAGGAAGCTCTCTTCGCGCCCAAGCAGCCGAGAGGGGTAATAGAGCAATCCAATATAAGAATGAGCTCGGAGAACTTCAAATCCGGTACGGATCTATGGTCCAGGAAGACAAAGTTAAGACTACTGAGCTCAGCGAATTGCGTGCGAAAACGAAACAGGACGAACATCGTATCAGACAAGTTTCAGACGACCTAGAACGAGCCAAAGAAGAAGCCTTGAAGTATCAGGAGCAGATGCAAGTTCAAAGGCGAAACCGTGATTCCTTGGAAGAAAAGATGCAGAGACTACAGGTTAAGGTTACGGAACAGGCGACCTTACTCAAAGTTCAGGAAGCTGCGAATACGGCACTCGATAGGCGATACCGTCGCCTGTCATTCGCTAGCTTCCTACGCTGCAACGTGCGCGTTGCTGTCACACCGCGTCTTATCGATGCCATGCCTCCAGAATCCATGGACAAGAACAACTCGTATACGATTTCAGCGGATGCTGAAATCCCCCAAATTAGCCTCTTTGCGACTCCTCCCTCGAACGCGCAATCGCCTATGCGGTTCGATTATGTCTTTACGGAAACCGATTGCGACGACGAAGTGACCTGCTTCACGAACAGTCTTGTCAACAACACCATTTTGGAACGAGGGTCTTCGAGGAATGGAGTGATCATCGCTACTGGGTTCAGCGGGACTGGAAAATCGACCACAGTACGAGCAATTGCGGCGGCGGCTGGAGAATTGATACTCGAGGATGGCTCATATCAAGGAAGATCCCATTATCTCGTGCTCGCCTTCTTCCAGTTTGATGCGACAACCCTGAAAGCACAAGAGGCTATTGCGCCACCCACAGCCGGTTTCCCCGCAGATCTAGAAATTGTCGTTGAGAATGAAAAGACAACAAAGGAGCGACCGACAGCGTACATGTACACTGTTCGGACGACAGCAGCACTTCGTGCCGTTCTGGATCACGCTGAAGCCTCCCGCAAAACAGAGCCCACCTTACTCAACAAGACTTCATCCCGATCGCATATGAAGCTTGAGCTAATCGCCAAGGGCAGGTATGTTTCGGGATCAATGTTGCCTCCGTGTCTTGACATCTTTGACCTTGCTGGCGGCGAACCGATCGAAGGGACTTCAAGCAAAAATCAGACGCATGGCATCAATCTATCACGTACGGCTATCCAGCCACTTTTGGAGCAGTTTCGACGCTGTCAAAAGCTCGAGGACTCTTCTGGATACAAGGTAATACGCGTAAAATATTCGGCAAGGCGCACCTAACAGGTTCAGATTACGAAAAGTATAAAGACAAGCCTTACGACTATTCACTCATCGAAGTCATGTAGCTTTGTCTACATACCCTGCGTGAATGTTCGTCATCCTCTCGAGGCCACGCGTCCGACTCTCACAACAGCCAAGCAACTCCGCGAAATGCCCACGTAAAGGTCGTGGTCTTGATACTGCTTGCATCAGCCTTGGTCCGCCTTGGTTCAGGAATCAAAACTACGCTAGAAGGGAAGGCACTACTACGAGTGCTTTTTCATTTCGTACTCGAGTGGTGTCTGAGAAGTTAGGGAATGTCCCCGTTATATGAGTAAAGTACAACAATATCGCTACGCTTCACACTATCAAATTTCATCCCCTGCACGGTCAGTCTCTGTTGTACATGGTTTGCGACCTCATTCAAGGACCAAGGCAATTTGATAACAATCTAGAGATATTGATGAGCCCAAACACATGTCCAGCCTTGTCTTGGTAGTTGCTCGAGCACTACATGAATCATGATGCTCTGTAGCCTTCTATCCATCGCTGACGATGGCTATCGCGGCAAAACCACATATTCGTTTTGCCATCAATCGAGTTCCGAGTGTTTTTACACTGCCTTCCGCTCTCAAGCATAGCTGGACACCTTTCCTTGAAATGTCGAAGATTCCCCTGTGCCGGAATCTGGCTGTGCGGTGGTGCGATGTAGACTGTGGGCTCAATGTTCTTGGAGACGCCGTGTTCATTTGGCTGGGTTTCAAGACAAGATGTAACGTGTTGGTACGACATTACAACCAACTGGGTGGTCGCGACGCATGCGCCATAGCCCGCGCGGAAGGCACGCGGCAGGATCTGACAGCGGACAAGAGCTCGATAGAGACATCTTGCTATGGTGAAAATCAACCGGATCGCTCGCCACAAAGTTCGAGCACAAATGTAGAGACTGCCATAGAGCATCCGAGGGAGTGCGATCATGACCACGGTGATGATGAGAACGCACAGTGTAAAAGAAGTGCTGAAGATCATGCTGGAGAAGGGGACGTCACACGAAGACACGTTTGCAGGGATGCAGATATAGTTGCAGTGGAGGGTGCGTGTAGCTATGCTTGGGATAGTGGTCGGGTGTCTAGGTGTGGACAAGAATGACTGTGGTTGTCGACGCGATATGCTTATATACGTGTTCTGTGCGCTCGCGCAGCGTCCGCTGTGTTGTGATTAATGTCTTGAGGTTACTATGGAGGTGGGCTTTACTTTGTCTTGTATCATGACGAGACGGATTCAGACTTATGTCTCTGCCGACTCTGTCGTAGCTACGAGACATTCAAAGGGAACGTATTGTCGGGCCATTCTAAGAGCCCCAAAATGACTGGGTATGCGCAGGTCTGTGCGCGAATCCACTCTTTTACCTGTTTGCCGCTAATTCGTGCATGCACGCTCCCGAGGTCCCCTACGCTCGCCCACGCGCACTACCTTGAGACTGCATGGATGAACCATACACACACGCATGCTATCTACACTACCGCCTATACGCCATTAACCCTACATCTGCCTAAACCGCTACGACCCTTTGCTGATCTGGGCGATGAGACTTCTCTCTAAGAGCTATCGTGCTATGCGCACTGACTGAGACGATGTGGTGCACTAGCTAGACATCTGCGGCTTTGCGTGCAGTTTGTCTCATGACGCACATGCAGGTGTCTTAGAAACTCTTCAGAAACTGGGCCTTTTGTTCGCGTCGTCCACCAGTACCTAGGTATAAGAACATCAGTTTCCCCCCATCGTTCAGCAGACATCACGATTATCTGACTCTAGGCGTTTGCAGCACTCCCTTTCTATCGCTACCAACACCTACGTCCTGGCAGCCCGCAATTATCCATCAAGACTTCGGTAGACTCGTCATGTTCCCAGCTACACCAGGGGTTCCCTATCCCGAGGGTCCGTACATGAACCGCGTACGACCTCTACGTACAGCCCGTCACGCCATTATCAAACCCAAATCGTTAGTATTCATACTTCGGTCGAGACCTAACGCTGACTATTTTCACAAGCTCTCCGGATGATTTTAAGCCGCCGCAAGGCTTAGATAGCCACAGCTCACGTTCGGGGTCCGCACAGACTCCAGAGTTTAGCCCATACGACGAGGGCTATGAGCCCACAAGCCCGTACAACGAGGGCTACGAGCCAACAAGCCCGTACGACAATGGCTATGGGCCTACAAGCCCAGTAGCTCGTGACGACGAGTTCGATGAACCTACAAGCCCGGCAGCTAGTGACGACTCCGAGGATGTTGCGCAGTATCCTCGTTCAGCTCGGAGCGATAGTAGAGCCAGCCGCTCACGTTCGCCTACTCCGTTGTCACGTCCCGCCAGCAGAGAATCATCATCTGCTCGAAAAACTGTGGGACTACAAAACGATCTTGATGCCGCTAATGCAGACATGGCGGCCCCAACAATAGAGCTGCCACCCGAGGCAGTCGCAGCAGATCTCCTCCAAAGGCACTTCCGCCAGGTCCGACACGCTATAAGCCAGACAGCTTCCCAGGTTTCAAAACTTTCGAAGTTTGTGTCGGAGGTCAAGAGTTACGAGGTCATGTCTCTGCTCTATGAGAAGTCACTCAAATTTCCGAACGCCCTTACCGCTATATGCGACCAGGACAACACCGAGTTTCGCGACGTGGCCATCCTCTGGATAGAGGAGATGAACTTTGTGCTCAGTGGAGACTTTCACAATCACAGGGCGACTGAGGAGCGACAGAAGTTCAAAGAATTCCTGGTTAACCAGTCTATACCAGGGGACGCAGGGCGCGACCACGTCCGCCGGATGACTGTTCCTGGGTTCTCGCGAAGTACCACGGATAAAGTGCTCGAGGTCTTGTTGAGGTGCCGCAATCTGAAGCAGCTCACTCTTGGCATCCGCATGGATGACGTCGCCCACTGGATTCCCACGAATGACTGGGATGCTCTGCAAGACAACGTCGCCAACTATGCCACTACTGTGGGCATTGACCGCTTGCACACGTCCAAGATCGAAGAGCTAACGTTCGTCAAGACGCCTAGTGAGAGTCATCTAGCCAAGAAGCAACATCCCACAGTGATGGATGATTGGCTGCTTGCTCTGGCTCAGCACGTCAAAGAGTCCACCAGGGACGCCCATGGCCCCCGTGTCTTTGTTGACATGGAAGACTTCCTCCATGGTCAAGCTGTAGAGGTGTAGGATCTTCATATTTGAGGTTGGCGGAGGGTGTGGTATTTGAGAGAGAATGTGTTTTCCCTGTCTCAAGGCGTAGGTGGCGTTTGGAAGAAGCTTTTTTTTCTGCTGGGTAGAGGCGTTGGCGTTTTGGCGTGGACCTTGCTTTCGTGTCTGTCTTCTTCTCTGTCATTCACGCTCGAGCCCGAAGGGGTCGTTTCGCAAAGGAACCTCGGTTGTGTACATTAGGGGGGATTATTCGGTAACGGTGGTTGTTTCTGTCTTCTAAGCAACTGATAGGTCTTGAACGAGAGCCATACTATTTTTATATTGTAGCCTTCATGTTCTTTCGCTTCGTGAGCGGAAGACTGCACGTAATTTGCAACAAATACACCCACGTGATCAAGGGGGAGTTGAGTTTCTTTTCCCAAGAAACCCGCGTGACAATACCTAGGTAGTCCTGCTTGGCTATAGCTATCCCCTTCCATCTTCCTTTCTAACCAGTAAACCGTCAAACATGGGATGGAAGCGTGATAGCCGATTGGTCGAGCCCGCGGACTTCGATGGGCTGTTCAAGATGACGTCATCACAGCGCGGTCACGTGAGAAATTCACCTGGGCAGTAACCTCGCGGAGGTGTCGTCACGTCGCGACACGCTAACTACAACAATTGCGACGCGACGCAGTCGCGACACTATATATATTTTCTGATACATCGCTAGTCGCACCATCAAGCAGCTTTCCACAGAAGCTTCCAGAAGAGAACCACCACGTGACGAAGTCGCGATAGTCGACCAGCGCAGGGAAAACAGACCGTACGGGCTAAAGAGGGTTTCTCGATGCGCCCTCATCAGCCAAACAACAGGATATTCTCATTTATTTCATCTCAAGTGGTTTGAGATGTATCAAATAGATGAATTTCGTCCTTCATTGTGACACGCAGTATATATCGAACTCCTAACGTCTTTTAGAGCTTTGTTGGGCCGATGTTGAGACGATTCCACCCCTGACATGATCCCCGCTGTTAGGACCCAGATTGATAGCGACGACGACAGGACGGCAGCATACGCAACGTGTACTGATAGAACGCACGGCTCTGTATTTTAAAATATATATATATATGCAAAGGTACTTCTTATTGAATAAGAGAGATTGTAATCCTTAGAGTAAGGGGAGTGTAGCACTTGTCTGGGTCGCAGGCGAGCGCAAGATAGCCCTGTTATGACAGAGACGTCAACGAGGTTATTTGCGGTACTCCCTTAACCTCCTCGCCACCAACGGCGTCTGGCCCCGAGGCCTTGAAATCTTCATTAGCACTTTTGAGCACCACACTTTCACAAAGGCCTTCCGCTTTGAGCACGTTGCCGGCTTCCTCATCGGCTACAAAAAGTCCTGAAGGTCACAACTATCAACGCTCACTCTGGTACGAAGTGGCTAGATGTCTGGACCGGCAAGCTCGAGTCACGCGACCTCCACCCCGCAGCTTCCATGTCCCCTCCGCGCTGTTGTCCTTGATCGTCCTTTGAATGCGCTCAAGGCTGTATTCGGCAAGAAGGGGGTCCAGGCCGTTGTCTGGCGCAAGGGTCTTGAGGCCTTTCTCGACACGTTCGAGCACCACACTTCAATGAAACGACCGCCGCCGGCCGCCGGCCGCAGTCCTCGGCTCCTAGCTCCCCTCCGCGCCTTCCTTCTCCTCCTCGTCCTCCTCCTCCTCGTCCTCCTCCTCCTCCTTCCAGCTACCTAGGTATCCTAGCCGCCGTTAGGTTTCTTCCTCAATAGAGTAATAGGCTCAGGAGAATGTAGGGTAATAAGCGGATAACCCACCATAACGACAACTATACAGCTCTCGTTTGTTGCCGCTACTGTACAAGCAAGACCAAAGACTTTTACAGCCTAGGAGAAGCACAAGAGGCAGCTTGCGCCAGATAACAAGCTATGCTCTCCTCAGCCCATTACTCCTAAGAAACGAGGCGACGTTTTAGAAGACCTCCTGGCGCAGTTTAGATCCAAGAGCTCAACCCAGTCAGATACCAAGGGACGACGCATCTCCCAGCAGTAGGCGATTAAGCAAGACAAGCCTAGCAATGTCTCCCTCTGTGATATTAACGTTGATATTCTCGAGTCAGAAGCTGCTGCCTCTCCTCTGCTGTCCCCCCTTCCTCTCTCACTCGCCCTCTCAGACGGTTGCGTCATACATCACCAAGACATGATACGATAACCGTGAGTACGCACCTTACGAAGAGCTGTAACTTTGTTTTACTTTAAACTTCAGGCTTGTAGGCAGCAAGTTGTATACTTAAACTTTGTGAGAGTCCAAGGATTGCGATCTCTGTTATTTGATAAGGAGTACCTTTTGCGTATGTAGTGGTTATGTATTTCAGGGGTCATAGGTGGCTACTAATACAGGCATGTAAACCCGGCTGCAAGGTGGTTTCCGAAAGCTCAAGTACCCATCTTTGATAACACTATGACTAATGAATGCCTGACCTCGTCCCTTGGTACTACACAAGAAAGAGCCCTTTGCAACCATGGTCTAGACGCGCTATGTATAGGCTAGCGATGTAGCGAGACCCCTTACAGACTATCAGACGGTTAATTCATGTACCCAATGAATGGAAGGCGACATTGCTTACAAGAAGCGGCAAACGCCTACGACTAAGCCGCCGACGAACGCGAAACAGTGGAGACAGGTGGCGACGACGGTGAGCTTCGCAACGAAGACAACAGTTGGCGATACAATAGGAGATGCGAGTGTCTCGATCAAGGAAAGAAATGTCCACATGATACGAGAAATGGTTGCAAGCATCATGGTTGAAGTCTGCCCGGCTGTGAGGAGTGAGCGGATTGCAGCAAAGAGCTTGCTCAGCTGGACGACTGCCTGGACTGGTGCCTGATCCTATAAAGACAGTGTTAGATGGTACTAGTATTTGGAGAAGTGGGATGCAATGTCACATACGTAGAAGTGGTTGAGGAACCTGTCACGAAAGACCGAACTGTAAACCATGGCAGTAGAGGTGCTTGCCTACACTCAACGATCAGCACTGCGCTTTAGAGGTAATGGCATTGAAGTGACCTACTTGCACCACTGGAGTGTTGAGTTCTCCCCATAAGGTGATAATGAAGTTATCGACCCGGAACTGATGCCCAAGCGTAATGAGGGCCGCGACGAGAGTCACTGCGAGCTTTTTGATGACAGGCATGCTAATCTTGTTGCTGCCGTAGCGTGGAGATGCGAGAAGATGGAACGAAAGATGTTTTGTTTGATGACTTTGATGTTGATCCAGTGAGATGGGGGGGGAGCTACCGTCGGCGCCTTTTATGTAGCTGGTCAGCAGTAGGGATAGTGCGTGAGCCACGTCATGCACGTTTGCGCGCGAAACAAGCGCAGCCCTTGACACAAAGCGCATTGGCATCTTGCGAAATCTGTCTCATTTATGCAAGCTTTGGGGTCTGTGAGAATGTCTCGGCGAGAAGATGTCTAGCCTTGGGCGGTGACGTATGCAGCGTGTGCCTAAGACAGTCTCAGAGCCCGGGAAGCAAACAGGCATAGAATAGCTTCAACGTGTGCAAGACAATCGCAACCAGCGGATGCAATAGTTTCACCTGGAGACATACTCCTCTACATAAAAACTCCTTAGCTGTCCTGACGTGAAGGATTGACATCTTAAAAGGCAGTGTACTTGTTTCGATAAGCATTTCCCTCAAGACGTACGACTTCACCTCAGCTCGTCAGGCCTCGCTTCCCGCCATTGCCATGCCATATCTACTGCACCATCGTCACTTCCTCCGCCTGACGTTGCTCATGTTGACGCTATGGGTTATGACAACTTCTGTGATCAGTTGGCCGTCATGGTCGTTTGGCGCTACAAAGCCCAATATTGCGATTCACTTCAACAACACAGGCACTTTCGCCATCCATCACCATCTTCAAGTGGCCCACGAAAGACTCGAAAGTGTCCAACACAGTGCCCCACAGACCCTCCAAGCACTTGATGCTGCGATTACGACGGACGCATCACGCAATAACAGCATTGGCCTACTGCTACACATTGTCGCTACAGCCTTGACAGAAAACAACGCCCAATTCGACACCGTGCTTCTTTGCAACGACTTTCGATACCTTAGGCCTATGCTTCTTGGCGTTCGTACCTCGGCTGCCGTGGTGGCTTTGATCAATGAAGAGATGCAACAACACCTGCACAAAACTGAAAGCCGACTCGTGCAGGAACAAATCCTCCTCGCAAGCCGACAGTCCGCCTTTCAGACCAGAAATTCCGGCTCTTCCAATATCCTCATTTTTTGGCATGTCGCGAAACAGACTTACGCGGGCGTGAAGTCGTTGTACTTCGGCCTTACAGGTCGAAGCATTTCTCCAATCTCGAGAGCAGCTCATCCTGCCATTACACAGCACCATTGCAACATCAAAGCGTTAGAAGAGGCCCAAAAGGAGGTGGAGCGAGCTACTCTCCTCAACCATGAGCTTGGTGCCCAGTGGCTCCATTTCGAAAGGGGCATAATTGAACTTTCGCTTCTGCTCGACATCCAGGTCGACACTGAACACGAACGGTGCACAACGGCAGATTCAGATGCGTTTAGGCAGCATCTATGGCAGGTTCTGGGTCGTACTTTGGTTCTCGAGACTAGCTAGACCCACAACTGAACTGCGGGAGGGCTTCAGGACGATTGTCATTATTCTTGGGATGCCTGTCTGGACCAGCTCTCCTCGCCCTACTTTCCTTGCCTACGCTTTCGAAACTTGTTCTTTCTTTCTAACAGTCTAGCTCTACTAGCCTCTCACTATGTCACTGCTTCTACTTAGCAAAGCCAGCTCATCCCTGAATCTCTCCTGCGTTGGGCCCGGTATCTTTTGTTGTCACTCTTTCAAGACTATAACCATGGCACACTCAGCAGAAAGATGTACACTTTTGTAAGACGCTACGAGGATTTCTAGATAGTACGGTATAGAAAATATGACGTCTTAGTTATCAACAAAAGTTCTGATTCCATCACGCGCCCACACATTTCATACCTGCATTACCTAGATTAAAGAGACATTCTGCTTGATGCAAAAGAAAGACAAAGAACATTGTGCACCAAACAAAAATGTCGATCCGAGAGAGCTATTCGACCATGAGCCACTTGACGAAGGCTATTGCCGCGCCGAGAGTGCCCAACACAAATCGCACGTAATTCATACCCGTGTTGATCGCCCGATATATCCAAACAAGTATGCGGCAAAGAACATAAACTAGAAGCGGAGGTCCAAGAAGCAAGGCTAGCGTAGCTACTTGTTGAGGCATGTAACTGGTCAAGAGGGCATGCGCTGATGCTAGGATTCGGATGGAAGATGCCATGATGATCGCGACGTGGGTGCTGATTGCGCGCAGGGCCATTTCGCAGCCTGCAGCTTGCTCTTTGAGAGTGCTCCACTCTGTAGCGCAAGGTCTCACCACAATTTCGGCAAGACGATGAGGCAATGAATCCAAGACCCAAAGCCACTGTTAGTGGCGTAACTACCTAGGTATCGTGTACTTGTCTTGTATCGTCACTTACTTGCTGAACACATTGCACGGCTTCTGCAATCCGGCGCGCGCCGAAGCTGAAACCTGACGCTAGAATCCAGAGGATGTTGGTCTGGACCCGGACGATGATTGCCTGGAGGATGTTGTTAGCCGTGAACTAGACTGAATCCAGGGTCGAGAATCGGGTACCTTTAGGCCCGAACCTACATATACAGCTTGGAAAGTGGGTAAGCCCCAGTCGTGGAACATGGCGACCGTGCAAGCGGTAATGACGATTACCGCCATGGTGGTCACACCGCCTTTGGGCGCATTCTGAGGTCGATCCATGTCTTTGGTGTTGTCTCCACGCTATCTACTCAGGCTGAGAAAAGTGAGTGTTTGGGCGCAGAAGAATAAGTATGATAAAGACCCTAGGAAGCATGCAATTCCCGCGGATATACAGAACGGGGACAAAAAAGGCTCGTAACCATCTCTACCGCCCTGAAAGCAAACACAAGCCGTCACAACCTACCTGGTGAGTGGAACGCTAGCGTGCATGTGATAGGCTCTGTTTTGCAGCCATGAATCATGGTGTCTGTGTTCTATGATTACATACGCAATCTGAAAAGTTTCATTGACGGATTCTAACGTCGGAACCTCAACAATAGGTTCATACTGCAGTTACCCGTGGAGGGGAACAAACAAACCTTGAAACCCTCCCAGTCAGCATCATATCCCTATTTTGAAGCCCGCAGGGCCTTTGGATCTCCACTAAAGAGATTTCCGCACACCAACGCACGTCTCTTGCTTGTTAAGCATGCATAGAATGGGCCGGTAGATGACATCACACCTGGGCAGCTTACGACGGGTGAAAGAGACAAACTAGGTAACCCCAAAAGGTGTGACGTTTCCTGAGTGTGATTTTCCCTTCCATCTTCTTCACTCCCTGTACCTCAGACCTTTTGGTCTCTAAAGGACACCTTTTGCTACAATATCGCTCACAAGACTTCCATTCTCCACGTGGCTATCATGGAGCTACTCAACACCCCCATAATACCCGCAGTGTCTAGCGATGTGAGCTCATCAGCCTCTTGCTCACCCAATCACCCGAAACCTACAAAATTCTCCGATGCGCCCACCCTGCCGAAACCGTTCAGCGATCCTGGCCCAGGATCCGCTCCTTCACTCCACCGCACAGGGGCCAGAAAAAGCTCCTATATCTCTGGATCTGGGAAACAACCTCGCGATCCGTTGCACGCGGTTCACTCTGGTGTAAGAAAGCACCCATCTATTGTGTCAAAGCCACGACCAAACCCTGGATCGGCAACGGTAGGAAGTCATTGGTGATACCTAGCTGTACGATGCAGGGGCTGACAGGACCATAGTCGCAAGAAGTTGAGGTCCAGCAAACTATTCAAAGCCAGGATCATACCATGGTACACAGTGTCGGAATGCAGTACACCATCCATCCAGTGGCGGCCATGCACGAGATTCTGGATACGGTTGCGGATCTCGTGCTCCATCCCAACGCCAACTGGTCCACCCTCAATGCATTGGCTCGTAATGCCACCGGCATAATCGCCAAAGTGGCAGCCGTGCGGGCATCCATACCGCTGCCGGCGCGTTCCATCACAGAAGCCATGTCCCCCGTACAGGTCGTTGCAGAGCATTTCGCTTACATCAATCACCATCGCAAAAGGGTAGGCCCTATATCAACGTCACCCATCAAACACTTCCTACAAGACGAGCGATCCGTTCTTGTCATGCGCGGGGTAATTGATTCGTACCAAGCCATCTTACCAGTACAGTGTCGCGAGGCGCCCGCGGACGTTCGGGTCTCTATCATAATCGAATGGATGCAACAGTCCACCTTCGTGTTTGGAAGCGCATACTTCAATGGATGGGGCGATCAGGAAGTGGCTTGGTTTCGCACCATGCTTTCTGTCTTGCTGACTCCCATGTATGTGCCCGGTCCTCTACACTACGTGCGGTCTCTGGAGTTTCCCTCGTTTGCACGCTGGCCTCTGCGTGGACACTACGTGAAGCTCATTAGCGATTGCAAAGGACTGAAGCATCTCAAGCTTGGGTTCGAATTTCAGTGCCTGTTGTATGGTACCGGTGAAATATTTGCGCTTCCGGCGCCAGCGACCTTTCTCCAACAGTCGGGCCTCGCTTGCATCTTCAAGTCAGATTGTTCTCTAGAGTCTCTCATACTTTGCCAGGGCCCGGTCCCTCCCACTAGGGTTACTGGAATTCCCAAGAACATGTATGGAGCTTGGTTACGGGGTATTGGAAAAGTGGCAAAGGCGTGTCTTCACAACACGAGGGTTCTTCTATGCCACCAGGACCAATGGTGGGAAGCACCACACCCTGAAATACCATTGGAGGAGCTCCCAATGGTTCAGAATACCATGTGACTTGCGGATCTGCTGTCAAGTTGCGATGTAGAGGAAAGGCTACTCTTTATTTCTTTTGTACTCTCAGAAGACTATGATAGCTCGTCTCTTTTCGTGCACTTGTAGGCAAGGCAGGGATATAATGAACGGCACTTTTGTATCATAGCTTTAAAGATTTATATCTCACTGCATGTAAGATACGCACGAATACGTACACTAATTCTTACTGATAGTCTCGGCGGTTTGCAAAGCCTGATTCACGGCTGCCTTCGCTATGCCCAAGGCAGCACGAAGTTTGAGCCTAGGCCCCAACGGCGGTCAATCTCTTCTTCTTGTCTATATCTTTTCCTCTCTGCTACCTAGGTACCACTCTCAGTCATCAGCATGCCCGGGTGTAAAGTACGTACATTGCAGCAAGGGATTGATGAGCTTTATTACCTTTTCTACAGCCTTTCTTTCTGCTACACGACCTACTACACCCCGTACGAGTAAGGTCAAGGCAGACAATCAGGTAAACACTAGCAATACCGCTCTGAAGAAATCTCTCTTCTCTGCATCATGAGGATAAATATGATAATTTGGGCGTCAGAGCTAAGCTCAAGGATGGAATCCTCCTGGTCCTTCTTGCAGCCTACTTAGACGGGGTTTTGAGGCCGATACCTAGGTAGCGTCGCATCGTTACTTTGCTAGTAAGTATGCTCACCCTGTTGGCTAACCCACAATCGTCTTCGAGTCAAACTAAAGTTGCCCTGCTTGCAGGGCTTTAGGATTTGAACGAGCGTTGAAAGCGGGAAATTCGATTGGCTGATCAAAGCTTCCATCCCAAGGTCCCATTGGCTGCTGGCTAATTACCTACTGTACCTCAGCACGGAGAGTCGGCGTTTCGCGCGCGCTGCTGCCCCGAGTCCTAGCGAGGAACATTATCGCCCTGCTTGCAGAGCTGGCTGTATGTACTCGACTCGCACCGGACGAAAGCGGACGCTCTAATTAGCAGACCAGAAGCGGCACTCCTATTAGCTGCATAGAACTACGGTAATCACGGAGGTTGGTGTTTTGAAGCTGCAGCGGCAAGCCGACGCGAGCGTCGCGTCGACTTGCCGCGCGCGAGAGCGCTCGCGCAAGCGAGCCAAATCACCAGACGGGAGCAAAAAAACTTCAGATGGGAGCAAGACAACGCGGGCGCGCAGCGCAAGCGAGCGAAAGAGGAGACTAGCGCGGGCCTTGGGGCCCGCGCAGCAGTCGCACCTCAAAAGATCTAGTTGACGCCGGGGGGGGGGGGGGGGGGGGGGGGGGGGGGGGGGGGGGGGGGGGGGGGGGGGGGGGGGGGGGGGGGGGGGGGGGGGGGGGGGGGGGGGGGGGGGGGGGGGGGTCG